TGCGTTACAAAACATCTACGTTCATATGTTTTTAAATCAGAGTTATCAGTTTGGGATTTACCTGTGTGTTGGGTTTATTGACAAAGGCTCCAATTTTCCTGGTGAAGGCGTTGAGCGACTCCACGGGGTCGGAGGGGGAGACGCTCCTCCGCCCTTCATCCCTCCTTCTTTCTCCACTGTGCGTCAGGCCATCGTCATCACCACTTTGAAGAGAGATGTTACCGTTTAGACATTTCAGATTTAAGGAGATCTATGTGGCGCACATTGAGTCCCTCTTCTTTCCCACCGTTCACAATATCTCTTGCTAAAAAGCCAATATTCAACATATGGCTCTATATACCAACAGATAACATCTAGTTATTTCCTTAAGACGGTTACAAGTTAGGTTAGGTTAGTAAATCAAATATGTTTTGAATTACCTGCCACCAGGAGTGTTGGCAGCTTGTTCTACTGTGAGATGAGCATCAGCTCCATGAAGAGGTTGAGTTGGAGCCAATACAACTCCTCCGTGCTCCTTCCCAGCATGCAATGCCTGAAGAGGAAGAACAAAGCAGAGTTATAGGGGATTCAATATAAATATGTATTTTAAAACTGAATTTTTCTGATGGGAAATGTAGGCATCCCGGACATATAAGACTCATATAGCTATAAGTATGTATCAATAAATGTGTATGTGATGCTTCACCTGGCTTGCAGCAGGGGGACACAGCTCAGCAGCTCCAGCTGGAGGGTGATATGAAAACCTGGAAGCATACAGCTAGAGACAGGAAGAAGAAGAGGGATCATTCATCACAAAACACTGCAGCGTAACATTGGAGACACACTGTTGGATGACGGGGTTTAAAACTGTGGTACATAATAGTAAAACATCACAATGAAACGGGAGATAAGTGTTTAAAGTGATGGAGCCTCACACAGTCAAAGCCAATAATGATGCAACACACACATCAAAACACATGACAAAATGTGAGTGATCAGCAGTTTTTAGTGCAGTTTAAAAGGTGCATCACACACTTCCACAGTGGCCGTATAGACTCACAGTGTGAGTGACAAGTCCAGGAGCCAATGGAAGCGGCAGACTGTCCAGGGGGAGGGGCTTAGACAGTTTACAGGGCGAAGGACTCAGTGTACACACACACTGACCAAACACAGACACACACACACAGATAAACATACAATTAAAAAAGACAGGAAAAAGAAAACGGACAAAGAGAGAAAAGAGACGGTGAAATAAAAAGCAGTTGTGAAAATGGAGAGCAGAAGTCACAGTGTAAAGAAAGAGATGTTAACGAGGATTAAAGGAGTGAGTCGTGTTACCTGTGAGGGAGGGGAGGTGGAGAAGGAGGTGGTGCAGACCTCCTGGGAATCCTGAACTCCTACATATCCTCCGTCCTCATCATCTAGAGCTCTGAACACACACATTATAATATTTCAGTTCTTCACATCCTACTGGGGGCAGACAAGTAAAACACAGATGGAGAATTGACCTTATTTTGTCCTTTAAGCAGGAACATGTAATTGTTTCTTTATTCTGTGGATGCAAAAGATGTTTTGTAGCTACCTGTAGTTGCAGGGATGTCCCATGTTTGCATTACGGTGGCCGATGCCAGGTGGATCCACAAAGTGATCCACGATGATCCCCACGATGGGAGCAGACTTCTCAAACTGTCTGCAGAAAACCACAGTTCAACCGTTTACTCGTGGTGCGAGTAGTGAAGCACCAAAGCTAAAATGTAACCATCTCTTTATCCACTCAGAAAACAGATATGTTCCTTATTAATAAACTCATCATCATTTTCTTGATAAGAAGACTGTGTTGTTTCTCATGCTGAGTGTTAAGTACCTGTTGGACATGAATGCCAGGTTGGTGCGGTAAGCACATGACAGTGTAACCGTGCCAACAGGTGTGCCAACAACACCGACACGCACCGTCTGAAAACCTTAAAAACAAACAACAAACCTCAGTAAAGAAACATGAATTTGTTTTAAATATAGGTTATGAAAGTAATATCTAAATGTTATTCTACTGATGTTAACTTCTATGTGTTTGTGGTTTTTAATGTATCTTCAAGATAGAACAACTGTAACATCGCCCAGGGATTAATGAAGTGTTTAAGATTCTGATTGGTGTTTTATTGTATGTTTTTATCACTTTTAAGAATAATAAACATGTCTAATTAATACGTAATCCTCTCCCTGAGCAGTTTCAGCCCCAGAAGGCAAAACAAGACATTTATTTCTGAACAAATAACTGGGTCTTTTCAAGTCCATTTGCATCTTATTCTATAAGGTCTAACACACAAGTATATGTGTGTAAAACCTTCCTTTTGTAATGTTTACGGTCAAATAAGTCGACCTTGAGCTACGAGTGTTGTTTTCTGTGATTTACGACATGTCCGTCAGGAAGCAGAGTTTAAGGTTACCTTCTCCTAATCCACTCAGCTGCACTTCCCCGAAGTAAATCCTAGAAATAAGAGAGGCAGAGACAGACGGTGTCACATGTCAAACATCAACTCAACGTAACAAGAGACCAAACAAAGCTGCTGCAGTTTACCAGCTGTTCCCTCACCTGTATAATATCACATAGTCGTGTCCCTGCTTTCTGGACAGCTTGTAGGCGGGTGTTACTCTGGTGATGGCCAGCAGAGACTTCAGAAGGACAGACAGACGGTTGTAGACTGTGTACGACACCTTGATGTCCTTATCACACCTGCAGCAGAAACAATGACTCGTTCAAAATCAGCAGTGTGGCGGCATTTCAAATAGATGTCAGCTTAATAATACGATGGAGTCATCAGTGTGTCTAATAGTCTTTGGGAATCTGTTTTGGAGCAGCTTCATTTATTTCAAGCAGTAACAAAGTGTAACAGCAGTTTTTAAACAACAGCAGCACTTCAGACTACAAAATGTCACTCGCAGAGACAAAGTAAGCCATTTATAACTTAAAGCATCTGACACACGCTCCGATTCAATTTTCTCCATTGTTCCTTTGATCACAAAGCAGGCTTCATTTGGCAGAAAAGCATCACAGTGTTGCTCATGATGAAAGGATCATTACATCACAGCACAGAGGTTTATTACCTCAGACACTGAACTGCTCATCAAAGCTATTCATGTGCATAATATACAACACTCAGAAACTCTGCAGCACTTTATATATGGCTGCTTATACTTAAAAACATGCCAAATGTACTCACTTCTCATTCATCTCCAGACACCATGTCTCCAACTCCATTGAGTCCCCCTGAGTGAGTAAGACAGAAAGATTTGTGTATACAAAATGTAAATAAGGAGTAAGATAATTGTGTGTTTACTATTCCAAAAGTATGAGGAATGTCAAACCTCTGACGTCTTCAGGGAGATCTCGACGCACATGGAGCGCCCGATGCCTGGGAGTTGTCCTGCCAGCGCCTTTTTAGCTTCATGAGTCACCTCTGGGATGTCTTTGATGGCCAAATTAAACTAGAAGAAGTCATAATAACAACAAAAATGACTTAAATGTACACTATAGACGAAGATCAACCATCCAAGCCAGATACATTTATGAGAAAATCTACACTGTACATCCGATCCACAATTTCAATGGTCAAATATTTTACCCAATCAGAGCCAGTAGGCGATGAGGACGAGCGAGTGCATATCTTCTCTCCAAGCCGCGCTTGGACAATCACCTGGACAGTCTACAAAGAGGACATGAGAAACCATTACTAGTCAGTAGGAAATACAGATATATCAGTAACAACAAGTATCTCAAAACCTGCGCAAATAAAACTGTCTCCATGTAAAGAGTGTGGGAATCAAAGCTTCTGCTAACAGAATGAGCCACGGGCGTTTAGACATCTACACTCAAAGAGGCTGCATTCCTTTCCTATGTCGGAAACAACAACATCATACAGGCGTGTTACCTTTAAGGCAAAGAACTTAATGAACTTGTCCAAGTCTTTTTTATCCTGGGGACTCAGGCCACTCTCCATGTTGTCACGACCCTGGGATCAATCAAGAAAACATGATCTATTGTACTGTATAGCACCGTGCTAAACAGTAAAGCAATCATACTAGTACACAACACAGCATGTCAAATATACAATTAATACATTTGTGAGCAAAGACAAATGTTGCCACTTACTGCAGCCATAATTATAATGAATTGTAATTGTCAAATACAAATAATTGCCAAGAAAAGTGAATTCATGTCTTGTAAAATGTGTGAATACATGAATCGTCAGTTAATAGAAATATTTGGATCAAAACAAGCCTTTTTTTCAACCAATAAATTGAACAATTAGTAACTGATATAATACCTAATATATAATACAATTCTGCTTGGAGTAGTTTTAAAGGAAAATACTGTTTATCACAATTATTTTAACCCTATTTAAGCATCTGTTTCTGTACAAGTTAGCAAGTAAGGCCTCCTCGTTGACATTCAATTATGCGGATAGTATTTGGAGGTCATGTTAAACGACACAATATACTGAAAACCAGCTTTTTACAGTGCAAAACAGCACGTTATGTTCTTATGTTTTCGTGTAAAACACAAATATAACTGATGTTTACTAACCGTTGACGTTGCAGCTAATGCTAAGCAAGCTAGCTGAATAACACGCACTTAAAATGTATCACAAAACAGCAACACTTACATTAGCTTTTCCCCTGGGAACGTAGCTTCAATAAAATACAACTTAATTCAATATAAATGACATAAAACGCTGTGTTTTATGAACAGTTAAAAGCCTATTTCAGAGGTAAACAACGACGGAGCTACTTCTCTGTTTATCTTCTCCATGTCGACGTGTTTGTATGGCACATCGTTCACTGCGGCACTTTCGTTGATTTGAAAAAAGTATTTAAAATGTTAAATACACAATTCGTTTTGTTTGCCTTTTTATTCATAGTGTGTTTTGATAGTGGTACTATATTGTTTTTAGTTCTTGGTAACAAAAAAAACTCAGCCTTTTAATAATGATAATCTACAGTGCATCTTCTTGTGTCGAATGTGCGCCTGTGCGTCAAACAATAGGTGTTCCTGTGGCTTGTTTTGGTTGACAAAAGCTGCATAACTTCTTCAAATGTAAGAGCCTTTTTCTTTACCATGTAACATAAATGCAAAATGCTTTAACTTCCATTAAAAGATATCCAGCTGTGTGTGTAAATAGCCATGCATATATTCAGAGAAACGCAATACTGAACGTAGGAAAGCTCAAATGCTAGTGTGGTAGCTACATAGTTAGCATGTAGTATTCAGATATACAGTAATAACAAACAAACAAGGAGCTTTAAAACTCGAGGACAGATTTGTTCCATGCCGGAAAGTTAGCCATTTTGTTGAATTGGCAGTGTGATAAGATACAAATAAATGAAACTGCAATAATCTTCCAATTGCATTATTAGAAATCCGGTTTATTGCTAGGTAGGTTTTCATATACAAGAACATTGCAGTGGTGTATTGGTGCATAAACAAAAAACACAAGGATAATACAAAAAAATACATACTATTTAGAAATGTGTACAATGTGTGGATACAGCATCAACAACAATTCATACAAGCATATCTTGTTCTGTGCATGTTAACTGTATTGAAATGTACAACTATACCTTGATTGATAAATGTATTATTGCCCACAGCATGGCGATCCCTATAGCCATCTTGGACTGTGACCTGCTGTTACACGGTCGAGGACACAAGACCCTGGACCGCTTTGACCTGGACTCTGTGCCAGACAACTTGCTCCTCACACAGTTTGGCTTCCCCAGAGAGTTTATACTGTATCTGGTGGAAATACTCCGGGAGGTAAGTAGATGATGAGCCTGCATTTCAATTATCTCATCCAATTAATTATACGTTTTAATGTGTGTGGATGTTAGGCTCTGTGCAGACGTACTCAGCGGTCCAGAGCCATCAGTCCTGAGGTCCAGGTGCTGGCTGCTTTGGGCTTCTACACATCCGGATCCTTCCAGACATCGATGGGAGATACAATAGGGATCAGCCAGGCGTCAATGTCGAGATGTGTGTCCAACGTGACCAGAGCCCTGGTGGAGAAAGCTCCAACGTTCATCACATTAAACAGGTGTGGAACCATGATGATGAGTTACATATCACTGGGATTATCAACATGCAGCCTATTGAAAGTACATTTTAAGAAAGAGTTGTTTCCCCACACAGAGACCCCTCCAGCATAGAGCAGTCCTTCCAGGAGTTTCAGAGGGTGGCAGGATTCCCAGGAGTCCTAGGGGTGCTGGACTGTGTTCAGGTGTACTATAATATACTGCATTAACACTTTAAAACTCTTTATACAAAGTGTACAGCCTAAACTGATCACCTCTTCCCCTCCAGGTCACCATCAAAGCTCCTAACAGCGAAGACTCGTCCTACGTGAACAAGAAGGGGTTTCATTCGGTGGGCTGCCAGCTGGTTTGTGATGCCAGAGGATTGTTACTCAGCGCCGAAACACACTGGCCGGGAGGACTCAGAGACACAGAAGTTCTAGAAAGATCTGCTCTCCAGAAACACCTGCAGGACGCTGAGGAGGGCTGGCTGCTGGGTGAGACTCAGATTGCACTCTTCTTTGCACTCTGCACAGTCTGAAAAAGCTCCAGGACTAATGTTTTTTTCTGATTTCTGCTTCCTAGGTGACCGTCGTTACCCTCTGAGGAAGTGGTTGATGACCCCGATGGACTGCCCAGAATCCCCAGAAGAGTTACAGTATAATCTGGCCCACACGGCCACTCATGAGATCGTGGACAGAACCTTCAGAGCCATCCAGACCAGATTCAGATGTTTGGACGGCACCAAAGGATACCTACAGGTACGCAGGTCTCCAGATTTATTTCAGACCAGGGCGTGTACTTTTTTGATTTCGTGTGGGCTTGTCTCTTTATTCAAAATCTTAGCAAACTTATTGTATCTTGTCTTTCATCTGCACCGTCCCCTTTGCTGCTGTAAACCATTTCCTGAATTACTTTTGTCTATCCTTTTGTGTGCATTTATTAATTGAGATCTGACCCCGTGAACCTTTCCCTGTCAAAGCAATATTTGAGTTATACATGCTTTTGTGACTGAATGGTATTTTTTCTTTTGCATCTTGTCTAAAAAACCTGCAGTATTCCCCGGAGAGGAGTTCGTCCATCCTGCTGGCCTGCTGTGTTCTCCACAACGCCTCGCTGCAGTCGGGGTTAGACGCCTGGACTCTGGAGCGGACCGACCCTCTGGAGCAGCCCGAGTCTCTCGAGCAGAGACCTGAAGATCGAGACAGCCTGGCAGAGGAGCTCCGGAAAGACCTCATCCTCAAACACTTCAGCTAAACTCAAAACAGATCAGGACTGGGACCAGAGCGAATCATAATTGTCTGTTCACAAACGACACATTTCAAGCAAGAAAGGCCACAGACACAGTGGTGCTGATGCAGGTTTTTTATATTTTGCTGGTTTCTACTCTACTGACTACACTAAGATAACATAGAAGTATATGGAGGAACATGCAGGACGCTATACAACAAACCGAGACAACATGGTACCCGAACACATTTGAAATAACTGGAAGTGCTTCATTATTCTCTCAGAATGTGGAATAATGAAACACTTCCTGGTGATTAACAATGATTAAAACTGTGTGCAGCTGCTGTGTTATCAACGTTTCTTTACAGGTGGAAAAAGTCACCTACCCTTTATGTTTTATTCCCTCCCCGCTTTACATTTTGATTCCCCAAATATCCAATTTTCTCACGTGATTCCACAGGTTTCAATCTTGGACTATGTCACAATACAAAAAAACAAGGCCATTAACAAGGTTATTTACAACAACTGCACATTAGGTGGTCAGTATTTATGTACACTGGTGCATTAAGACGGTATTGGATGAGAATGACAGGATGTTTGTGCAACGGGCTGCAGTCACATGATGTTTTTGTGTACACACACACAAAATGAAATGCAAACAGAGATGATAAGAAACATTTGTAGTGTTTGAGATAAAAAATAGGAGTTCTGAGCATTACATCATTGTAATAATGAATTAAAGGAAGTGGATGGGGGCAGTGTAAAGCTTTTAGTTTTTGAAGGAGTACCATTAAATGTTTTGTTTTTTCTTTCATTGTCAGAAAGTGATTTTTGTTGTTGTAAATGTCCCAATGGTTCCTTCAAATGTTGGCGATAACAAAGCTAGTGGTTTGTTTTACTTCCTGGAATGTATGAGTCCCCTGATTGGCTTCATCAATATATACACACTTTCTACAAACAGGAATAAATACAACACACACTGCTGTCGCATGAGCACATTTAGCATCTACGGTGAAATGAATTTATGACAACAAATATGATAATTGCCGATGTTCTAATTATTTAAGATCGTGCTTTTGATTTCGGATGAATTTCTTCTGCGTTTTAGGTTAAGAAACTTCACCTTATGGCTAAAAAAATTGATTTCAAAAATACATTTTACAAGCTAGTGGCATTTCTATATCACACAGGAACCAAATGGACCTTTCATGCGACAGCAGGAAACATAAACACTGTATTACAGTTGAAAGACAAAAGCAGATCATGTCAAAGTTTACACGACACACCGTCATGTAAAACGTCATCATCCTAAATGCAAAAACACAACATAAAATTCCCTTTTTTTTTTTCTTGCATAAAATAAATATGCTCTTTTTTGATGCTCGGAATATATTATAACTTGTATTTGAGTGTTTTTTTGTAAACATTTTCTAGAAAAAACAATAGAATAACAAACTTAAAAACACGTTCAGTATTTGTTTTTTTGCTGCATAAATTAAATATGCATTTTTTCGATGCTGCAAATATATTACATATACAATTTAATTCCATAAAAATACTTTTATGTAATTGTTTCCCCACCTCTCGTAGGACCCCCTTTAACAGTCCTTTGATATTAACATACAAAAAATATGCAGAATGTGGACTTTAACCTGGAGATGGATTTAAAAAGTGGAAAAATAAAACAAAATATATCTTTTGCTTTAACTCTTGAACACTTAAGGCTAGCTTTTGAAATCAAAATGTTTCCCCAGATACAGAGGGTTTGTTGTTTACAGGTTTATAGCTGCGTGCTTTAGGTGTAATAAGGCCAAGTTCGTCATATTAGACTTAAGTAAGTGGAAGGCACTTTTAAACGGCACAGCTTCCTTTTCCTTATTATCTAGTTTTAACGTACACTGTTATTAACGTAGAGTTGAAACAGAATCCATTTTGGTGATCCATTCTCTAATATGAGGATCTATCCTAACTTGAATCGATAATCACATTAGGGCCGTTTCTCAATGTTGAGAACACATGCTGCATAGCCACTATTTCAAGTATACTACGTCATAGAGTGGCGCAGAATGCTGGGCATTTAACATGCATTTAAACAGTCCTTCGGCGCCACTCGATGACGTAGTATACTTGAAATAGTGGCTCTGCAGCAGGTGTACTCGACATTGAGAAACGGCCTAGGTGTTAGCTGCAGGCCCTTTAGCAACATATATGACTGGTTAAAAATTAAAGCACTGACCCGATTTAGTGCCTTTGAAAAGTAAAATATACACTCCCAAATTGGAGGTCTGTCAAGTATCCGTATGCATTTATGTTCATGAGTTCTTAAAGGTGCAAACATCTATGTTTCTCTTGATACTAAGACCACATTTCCTTTTTCATTCCTAAAGGATGTTGGCAACGCTACACTACATTTGTTTTTATGAGGAAGTGAAATAGTCGATCACAGCTTTGTGTTAAAATGCTACACATTGTATCTGTAAATTATTGTATATAGATTATATAATTAAGCCCCTGGTTGTTGTTTAAACTAAATATGATAAGATTAGTTGGATTTTTAAAATGATTGTATGCATAAAAACAGAAGTTCCAATCCCTTTCAAATCAAGTATATTCAGGTGTAGCAGAGTCTGTTTGAGAAGTGAAGCACCTCGTGGTGACGGCAGTGTGTCGGCTGTGGAGGACGGAGGAAGTCTGGATGCCTGCTGAGTTCAGGGGTTTCAGGAGTCTGGAGGTTTGTGGCTTTGGGGGTCAGAGGTTAGATGTTGTGGGAGGAGGGGTCAGATAAACTCTGGTTTCGTTTCTCTGAGGAGAAGAGAGGAACCAAGTTAATATTCAGAGGACAGTAAGGCAAGTGTATTTGTTGGAAAAATATCACTCGTCCCCGGCTTGAGCTTCAATCTCAGGATCCATATATTTCTGATCCTCTCAAGAATGGAAGTCACATACAGAGCATCAACTAGTTCCTGAACAGTGTCCTTCACATGCTGATATCCAAGAGAGGGAGTTACACAGTCTCAAGGTGGAGGAATAGAAAGCAGTATTCAATGTTTACTTCAGATTAACTCCACGTCAGAAATGAGCATGCTTGTCATATGTCTCTCTCCATAGAGGCTGAATCATCATGTTAATCACATAGCTATCATATGCCTCAAACAGTCCTGATGCTCTTCTAGGTAATTACACATCCTGTCATAGTTGGGATACCTTTGTTATCATGTACATTGGAAGAGGACATTCAGTATTTTCCCAACAGTATTTATAGCACCTTTCAACCCTAAGCAAATCCAAATAGTGTTACTGAGGCCTCTAGCAGCAGCAGCCACCTAATAGATTTGTTTGTGAGACGTGCAAAGACACTAATAGATGTTTTCTGACACTAAAAGACGAGATATTTTTGTACCTGCTGTCTGCTTTGGGCCCGGTGGTCTGGTTGGCCTCCGCTGTGTATCTGCTGGTCTGGATGTGGCTCTCTGCTTCTGATGGAGATAAACTCTCCTCCAGTGGAGACCCTTCGTCGTAGAAGAGCAGGCTGCGGGAGCGGACTGCAACACAAACACTGGATTTCATTCACATGTCATTTTTGAACAATTTTATTTGACATTGTAATGAATTTGGCAGCCTCGAGGGGTCAGGGTTTAGCTTCTGATGGGTACAGTCTAGCAGAGTTTTTCTTTTGCCCTCAGAGGACGGCTGCTGGCAGAAAGGAGTGGTACTTAGCATGATGACAACTTAAACTCTGGTTATAAAAAGGGGTTTCCTGAGGCGAAGTGGTTAAAGAAAGTACATTCACAGGGAAGTGGAATGCAGCGAAGAGTGAAAGTTGATACTCATGACCTCTCCACAAGTTGTTTTTGAGAGAAAAACCTTTTTTGTTTACTGTAACACTTGGTTTTCATGGTTTTGACCTGACCTAAAGAATTATCAATAGGAAAATAAACTTCTGGGATCTTTATTTTTCATTCCTTCTCTACATGCTTTCATTTTGAAATCAACATTTATTTCCTAAATGATGGCTTTATTGTCATTTGTACATTAGCTACAGTAGATATGTCAATGAAAAACGTAAGTCACAGGCTCCTCCACCAGTGCAACATGTATAGGACATAAAACAGATACAATAGTGCAAGAAGAGTCGATATAAGTAAATGGAATATGATATATTAGACAAATTATTAGCAAGATGCAGACAGATTAATGTGTATGGATGTTCTTTCAAAAGTGCAGGCGTTTAATAGTCCTAATCTTAATTAACATGTACTTCCATATCTACAGTAATGTTGAATTTGCAGACCTACCCTGACTGGTGGTATAGAGGTCCGCTGACGGGAGAGGCGGAGAGGAGGAGGGATGAGAGGAAGAGGAGGATGAGGACAAAGAGGAAGAGGTGTGAGTGAGGAAGGAGAGAGGAGAGAAGCAGGGAGAGAAGGAGCCCAACACCAGGACAAAACACACGGCCACCATCTGCACAGATAGTGACACAAACATCAATAAAAAAAACACCTCATTAAAATGATGAGAAACACTGGTGTCAATAAAGTAACTTACCATGAGGCATGTTCCCGTTTGAGTAGTGGCAATTTTACAAGAGCGAGGGAGGACCTTCCCTGTAACGAGAGACTGAAGCTTCTGCAGCTGCTGTAGGAGAGACCTGAGGAGAGAGAAGGAAGGCATTTTCACAGACAATATGTTGGGTTTTACCTCCATTCTTTCATACCCTTACTAAGACCGTGCCTCACCCTCCTTGAGGAAGTAACACCAGTTAAATGATCATATTTCAATACTGTTTTGTAGTCTTTGAGATCATGATTTAAGATTTAGAGTGAGAGCCTAAACTCTTAAACATGCCCCCAGTGTCGCTGCAGCTAATTCCTCTCTTCTTGTACTTTAAGGTCAACTTAATGAAACTGATTTCCTGACAGACGACACCAGTAAAACCAGCAGGATAAATTGTGTGAGTGGGATCTGGAGAGCAGGGTTCTGATGGTATGAGCCGCGAGGACACACTCTCACCACTAGGTGGAGACACAGGGCAAACTACAGCTGTGAATCAGAAAGTTATTCGATCTTGAACACAATTATAAACCAAACCAGACTATAAAGTGGTCAGTCAGGTCTTCAGAAGGCAAGTGAGTCATGTAATGTTACAAATCTCCACGCCTCACATGCACCAGAGTGTGTTGTCTGCTCTAATCAACTTTTATAGGATGATACTGACCAGCATCACACATACAGATGTTTTGATGTAATCAAAACAGCTGGATTATTGCTGTTTCCCATGCGCAGTGCTTCCAAAAGTCAGACTTGTCGAGACATGGAGTAGATAGTCAGCGCAATTAATTCAGCTGTTATAAATCTATTAAAATGGATGCTTTTCTTTGGTTTTAGGGGAGCTATGGCTATCAGGTCCCCATTGAATCCAGTGTTTGTGCGAAGCTAGGCTGTGAATCTCACACAGGACCTGTTTTAGTGTTTCGTCAATCTGGATTTATGACTTTTAATACATATTTAATGCAATAGGAAGATGGAGTTTATCCTCACCCAATAAACCAGTAGCACTGACTCAGTTCGGTGTGAATCAAAGTAAAGAAAAGGCAAAGAGTTGAGAACAAAACGACCACTAATAACTGCATTTGGGGCATTTTTAGTAAAGCTAAAATTAACTTCAATCGTTTAAAACGCTTTTTAAAAAAAAAAGTCTTGCACATATTCTGGCCCTTTTGAGAGAGTGAGCAGTTTGTGCCAACTCATTGTTCCCCAGTGTGGTTGTTTAACATGTTAACCAGCGTGTGTGTGTGTGTGTGTGTGTGTGTGTGTGTGTGTGTGTGTGTGTGTGTGTGTGTGTGTGTGTGTGTGTGTGTGTGTGTGTGTGTGTGTGTGTGTGGTGGGAAGGGAGGGGGTTGCCTTGCATGATGAAAGCTACTGTTAACTTGCAGCTTTAATGACAGGCTCATGCCGCCACAGACAGACAGATAGAGACAGACCCCCCCCCCCCAAAAAAAAGCCTAAGCCCTCACCCCCACCACACCCACCCACCCATCTACCCACTGGTTTCATATTGTTATAATAACAGGGGAGACAGACGTACTGGGTGAGTCTGCACTTTGACAAATTACTTTATAGACTCCTTTAATTCTCTCAGTTTAACTCACACATATAAACTTTGGAAGGATTTTATATACAGAGCAATGTAAGAATAGATGGGTGAATCTAACTCAAGCCTTTCCTGCTTGATCAATCAGTATTTCTCTAAAGAACAGCCCTCTTCACAAGCTGTCTTTGAGAGAAATGAGGCTGTTTTTGTAGTGGTGCACTTAATTTTTACAATACATGTGCTGCTTTCTCTGCGTCTGTGATGAATTCAGACTTAGAAACTGAAACTCTTTATCTTCCTTCTACATGTGTTATTTCTCAGAACAAGATCTCTAATGCAGTTCTCTTTTAATCAAGCGGCATTCTTAACAAACGTGTTTCTATTTGCATATGAAGATAATCCAAACAGCATTACTAAAAATGTCTGGTCTGTGTTATTATTAGTGTGTTGGAGCCAGCGTCCGTCTGCTGAGAGACACAATGGCAAATACACACTAATGTCAGCCAGTGTGTGTGTGTGTGTGTGTGTGTGTGTGTGTGTGTGTGTGTGTGTGTGTGTGTGTGTGTGTGTGTGTGTCTCACCTGTTGGCGGTCTCCAGGTTTTCTACTTTTCTCCACAGGTCGCTGTTTTCTGACGTGTAGCTGTCCACCCTGACACACAGAAGAACACAGATTCTTGTCAGCGTCTATTTGACATTTTCATCTTTTCGGAAAACACATCTTCAAAGCGTGTCCACAATTCTTTGCTGTGATCAGAATTGCCATCTATTTATTAGTAAATGTTGTGCCATGGTTTCTTTGTTGCTGCAGGATGACAGGTCTTCTTTCTCCTTCTAACCCTATTAAATATCACCCAAACACCTTGTTAATCTTGTGTTATGTTACCAATAATCCTCCTGATCTTTTCTTATTTCTGCTTTGAATGCAGCTCATTCATTCACTCTCCCTTTCAGCGAGTCGTCCTGCTGTTTCTCTGTGAGTGATCCGACTATAATCCTGTCCTCACGTCCAGAGGAGAAACACAAAGAGATATGTTTTACACACTCTCCTCTTACTTCTCTGGTGAGGAGAAATGTAATTTTTGACCACCTGTATGAACCTCTTTGGGTGATTCTTGCTATAAAAGTCCACATTTTCACCTCTCTTCAAGTCTCCCCATGTGTTCGGCAGGTTAATGGAGTCCTGCCATAACGAGTTACAGCCAGAATAACAAATGACAGAAGAGGGGAATGAGTTTTTAATTATTTTTGAGGTTGAAGTACGTTCTGCATGTCATCTGGACATTTGTACCTGAAGCGACAAGGAGCCATGAGTTTCCTGACGTTAGTAAAGCCAATCTTAAACCCCTTTCTTTCTCTATTTTCTTAGTGACATTTTTTATCTTTTGTAACTCATATTTATTGTTTTTGTGTGCCAGCATATAAAGAGCACACAATTACGTATAAAAAGATCTGTGGTTGGATTCAGGGGAAACCTCACTGGCCGGCTGCTTTTTGTACCGAATGCACCGCTAACTATGCAACTACATTTGTTAGACAGCAGGAGAAGTGGAAGAAAAAGGTTTTTCATCATTGTTGAAACATTGGCTGTTCAAGCATTCGCAACATTTGGACGGCATGGATTGAAAAGCGGGAGTGACTCAGAAGCACGACAATTATTCCATGATTGGCTCTGACACAATAAATAATTGTACACTGACGTCTAAGGGTAAGTGATGATTTCCTGAGCCTTGCAATAAGAGAACATCAATTTGCTCTTTGCATAGGGAATGCTAAACGTTGGGGAAATCAAGGCTTGGCTTTTCTCAATAGTTGTGGCCTTTGAAGCACTATAATAGGGTAGCTTTAATATAATTCAAAGGGGCTTTAGTGAGAAAAAAAATCACAGAAGTTGAACGAAAAGGAGTGGAAAAGGAGTGGAAACGTGGGGACAGATAACTTTTTCCGAGCCTTACTTTTTCTCCAGGCATTCCACATATTCTTTCTTCTTCCTCCGACTCTCCTGAGCTGAGATCTGGGTAGAAGAACGGAGACAAATCAGCAAAATGCACAGAGTTACGTCACAGAAGTTTGTCTCGTGGTTTCTCGGAGACTGTGGCTCAGTGGATAGTATGATGGACTTCGAATCAGGGGATAGCAAGTTCAAGTCCCATTGCAGTCAGCATGTCGTTGTGTCCCTGAGACACTTCACCCCAAATTGCTCCTGTGGGGATTGCCCACAGTCGCTTTGGATAAAAGCGTCTAAATGACATGTAGTGTTTCTATTTTACCCGCCTTTCTCAGTGTAAGGCACTCAAAAACACACGTGTAGTAAATACTTGGAATCCTGCTTTTTCATCCTTGTTTTTTTTTCTGGTTTTCAGCTGAGTTTTTATGAAAGTGTACCTTGTTTTTGATCTTCCGTCGGACCCTCTTCAGTGCCTTCTCTTCACTCTTAGTGAGAGGGAGTTTGTTGGGTACGGGGTAACCCTCTGCCACCAGGGTCCTCTTCTCTTCTTCTGTCAGCAGGAGCGGCCCTGAGCCCTGCAGCTTCTGCATTAAACAAAGCAAATCATCAACATATTTACAACAATTACCAACTTTCTATGTTTAAATAAACCCTGTCTTGGATGTTATTGAATAGGCCCTATTTTGTCAGCACTTTATAGGACCGTTTTTATAGAAATTGGTGCATTAAGTGTGGGATAATCATTAAAAAAAAAAGGGTCTTCCACCTCATAGGCCAGATTTTTTAAGTCCTGATAATTCCCTAATGTTCGTATTGTTTACTGTTTTTTTACTAAGGCATTCCGGACAGACAAAACTTAAGATGTACAATAACTATGTCTTGAAAAAACGCTGTGTAATTGTTTGCTGCCAAATGTCAATCCCAAAAATATTTTTAAAAGGGTCTTCCTCTCACATGTGGTGCGGTGAGCAGAGGTGAGGAGGAGATGGCTGTGGAGGAAGAGGAGGATGAGGAAGAGGAGGAAGAACAGGCGCGACCTCCTGGCCTCTGCGTCGGCTGAGGGGAGGAGGGGGGCAGGGTGAGGGGGGGGGAAGAGGGGGGCAGGGAACCGTCACTGTCGCCGTGGTTACTGCTGGGAGGGGTGGGCGGGAGCTGTAGAGCGTCATCTGGAAACGAGAGGAGAGGGGTTAGTGAGCTCATACTGAAACATCATCCTATGCTGTGATAGATGAAACAACACGTGCGTATGAGACGTCAGAAGACCTGAGTGCTCAAAGCTTTATTCAGTCCTTGGTTCATTGACTTATTTTGGAATCAAGTGTTTCTTTATTAATCACAAAGTTGTATGTATTTTTTTGTGAAGCACTTGTGCCTGAGGTGCCTCATTAATAAAATGTGTCTGAATGATTGATGAACACAGAAAGTAGATCCACAGAAAATTCATTTAGTGATTTACAGACTTACAAAAAGCTGTGAATGAGAGGTTAAGGAAATAAAGTCCTTCAGTGTTTGTGACTTTTTTTGAGGCTGAGGTTTTTTATTTGATGCTCTTGACTTATATTATCTTGTGTCCTCTCTCCTCCCTTAATATCGCTCACCCTCAGCCATCCATTGAGGATTTTTTAAATCCCATAATTCCCTTAAAGTAGACCCTGAGTGAGGATGCTTCTTTAGGAGCTTAGAGCGAGGAAGCACAGGTTCATCCCACACAGACGTCTCTTATCAAGTGGCTCGTATTAATGCTACACCTCCACATGTGACACACAGCTGTGCAGAAGCTTTGTCGCTTGTATGTGTGTGTGTGTGTGTGTCTGTCTGTCTGTCTGTCTGCCTGCCTGTCCGTCTGCGTGTGTGTGTGTGTGAGCGTGTGTGTGTGTATCCAGTCGTGTGTGGGAAGCTGTTGCACCCGCAGGTGATTGTCAGCTTGGCTACCTGAGATGGGTGTGTGTGTGTGTGTGTGTGTGTGTTGTGTGTGTGTGTGTGTGTGTGTGTGTGTGTGTGTGTGTGTGTGTGTGTGTGTGGTGTATGTGTGTGTGTGTGTGTGTGTGTGTATGTACCGCTGGGCAGGCTGAGGTACTGTCCAATCTCTTTGGGTTCATCTTTTATGGCGACGGGCTTCACGCTGTCTTGACTGGGCTCCTGCAGAAACACAAAAACAACAATAATCAACTTTTGAACAAACAATATAATTTGTAGCGTCTCGCGGTATGAAGGATGCTAACCGTGTGTTTCCATGGAGACCCTCTGTGTGGTGGGGCGGGGCTTAATGTGAGGGGCGGGCCTTCGTGAGGCTGAGGATCTAACCTTTGACCCACATCCGGCTCCTCCTGTTTCACCAAGATGCCCGAAAGGTCCTGACTGAAGCTCCATTCAAATTCTAAGAGAGACAAAACAGCATCGAATCAAAATCAACAGACATTTAGCAGCAGTTAGTTAGTTAGTGGTTTTTGTTGACAAACGACTGTTCCCAACATCAGGAATAAACGCAGAAATACACATGATGTAAAATATACAAAATATCACACTTCACTTGTAATATTAAAACATCTTAAGATCAACCTAGAAAGCTCATCGCCCTTTTTAAAAAGCAGAATAAACTACATTTTCAGAGCAACTTGAAGAAATGAACCTAGGTATATTTCTCTCCCGGGACCTTCAGGGAGGTCTTCCAATGGGAAGTAACTGGTAGCTTATAAATCACACTTTGAAGGAGCTTCCCCAAAACATTTGAGCACTTCCTGACAAGACTGGTCATTACAGGCTGCTGGACAACGTTACATTACATCTCTCAACGTCTCTCTGGCATCTGCGGTGCATAATTTGTCTCTAGTGAATTTGTATCTACCCTGAAATAAAAGATGGGCTGAACCTGCACCTTGTGTTCAGGATCCTTCCCGAGAAACGAAACGACTGCTGCCTTTCAACACTGCAGAAAATATGCATAATCGGGAACATTTTAAAGGAGGTTCCCTCAAACACAATGAGGTGATTCTCACAGGTACTCCCTTGTTTAGTCTAGTGTGAGCTGCAGAAAGTATTTTTAGCAACATAAGTGCCAGTGCAGGGCAACTAGTCACCAGTTCTCCTGGTTTATTTGGTGTCCTAGTGGGCAAGATGATGAAAAGGCGGAGGAAGAGGAGGCTGCCAGCGCCGGCCACAAACCAGGGTCACAGGGATCGGTGAAAACCAACACCATGAGTCACTGAAACACTTCTGCACTTCATCATGTAAACTGTAGGGGACAATGTGTTTATAAGGGGCCCAAATGAACAATATATCTATACATTTCTAATCGTTTTTGTGGAGAGTTCTGCATATTTTACACACGAAGATCAGTTTACTTGAAAGTCTTACTCAGCTTGTCAAGAAAGGTGTTTCATGTATTCTGTGTCATGGGATCAGCGTTGTTAAATTGGTATTGAGACTTTTAATTTATAACAGAAAGCCTGAATTGCAAAGTAGAGATGTAGATTTTCACAGTGTTGGTGATATTAGAGATCAAATTGAGTTGCATTATGGGAGTTTTATTCGTTAAACCCACCCGTGGGACACAAATATGAGTTCTGCTTTAATACATTTAACCACTCTTTTTCTTAATTGGGCATTGCTTATATTGAAGTGCAATATTAAGTTGCTGTAGATCTTTTATTTAAATTCTGACACTGCTTATCCACACAGGAAACGTTTATAATGATGAACTTGCTGATGCGTCTACGGGAGTTAAAGATTCACTATGCTTTCAATTAAAGGTCCCATGTCAGAAGTGAGCTTTACGCAAAAGTCCACCTGAACTTTACATTCAACCTTAAATTGAAAAGAAACAGTATGTTTTAAGTGGCAAATTAAAAGTGAAAAAAAACTGCAGGTAGAGAAGTGTTTTTCCTCGAGTAAGCATTTGTAAACTTTAGAAAAGGACCGACACTTTGATGTTTGTCACAACACACTCAACCAAAAAAGCTCCCGTGGTGCATGGAGAGACTCATTTAACAAGACAAGCAGTGCTGCTGCTGTACGTGTGTGTATGTGTGCGTGTGTGTGTATGTGTGTGTGTGTGTGTGTGTGTGTGTGTGTGTGTGTGTGTGTGTGTGTGTGTGTGTGTGTGTGTGTGTGTGTGTGTGTGTGTGTGTGTGTGTGTGTGTGTGTGTGTGTGTGTGTGTGTGTGTGTGTGTGTGAGTGAGTGAGTGAGTGAGTGAGTGGACGTCATTTTAATCACCTCCTGGTTTCCTAGCAACATGTCTGCCGGTAAAATGCTCTGTAGTTTACAAGCCGCGGTGGAAACAGGAGGCAGGGGGGGGGGGGGTGGAGGTGTGTGAGCTTCATCTTGTCCGTCACTAACGGCCAGGAGAGTTCATCCTAAAAACAAATCACTTTCCATCGTCTAAAATAAACTGCCTTAAGGTGCAACATCACTGCTGTGGTGTCAACAGTAATCAACACTGACAGCAAGATGCGATAGCTAGAGCACACATCAGTCAACTTCATTGCAATCTATTAGGACTTATTGAGAAGTGGAAATCATTATTATTGTGGTGTGCCTAAAGCAGTAGGTACTATATGAGTGTATGATTATTTGTTCTTTTGTGAGAACCTGCAACTAAGGAAAAGTTAAGCATATTGTAATTGATTATTAACTGATATCACGGCAGGCTATATCAACATTGTTAATCTATATGAACAGTGATTGAAAGTGTTATAAGTATGAAGCTGTAACATGTTAAATTAGCTTGAGGCATCATTTATCACACCATGGAAACACAGCTGCAGATAATACAATAATAATGTGATTTAATGAGCTGCAACACGTCAGTCATGATCAAATATTATCGTTGCAACCCGGCATCCATCCCTGACTACTAATCAGCATGGTAGCTCTGGAATATGTCTGAAAAATCGCTGATTATATATGAAAAGAAATAAGGAATAAACTCAGTTCTGGGGTGGTTCCTCTATTAACCGATTCCCCACATCCTCTCTGCTGGTTGGACCCTCACAAGCGTCTCCTAATGAGGCCGGTCCCGCTGCTCCTCGGTGCCTCGTTAAGCCTCGTTAAGCCTCCTGCCTCGTTAAGCTTGATTGGACGTCCTCTGCCACCGATTTTTAACGAATACCAGGAGCGAGGTGAATGCATAGGAAGGCAGTCCTTTATAAACATGATGGGGGAAAGTAGGATATAAACAAGAAGACATTTTTTATTATTTACTGCATTTTTGCGGGGTATTTTCCCCTGATATTACCAAATTGTAATTGATATTTTAAGCAATTTGAGCTCAAAGGAAGGAAACAAAGTGCTTTTATTAGTCCCTCTGTGCAGAGGGTTCAAACATAATTTAGTGTTTGTGTCAAAGAAGCTGTGGGTGAAAGTAAAACCTGATCCTCACTACTTTACAGGATCTCTAGAATCCTAGATGCTGTTAATAGAAGACAGTCTTCTTCCTATGAGGCTAGTAAACCCAGGTAAGACATCCTATGGTGGGGTAATGACCAGAGGCTCCTGGCAGTCGTCACGGGGGGTGAAGGAGCAGAGGTGGCGACTGTGTTTGATCTCAGCGGGACGGCAGGAACATTAAAACGATAGATGGAGCAGCGCAGTGGGAGCTGTAGTAAAAACACACGGCGTCTTTTTGCCTGAATAAGAGTACCGAGAACTGAAGACCACAGGCTGAGGCAAAGAGGACAGGAAAGGTAAGAGGTTTTTGTCAAATCAACCAAATTTGAGCATCCACTGCAGGAGAAACTGACCCATAATTCTGCTGGGGTCGACCAATAATTGCTCTTCATGTTGAACATCTATGATTCACCTCCATTCAGAGCAAACTAGCTTTCTGAAAGGTCAGCAACTTCTGACATCCCCAGGTGGTTAATTAACCCCGACTCCTCGAGACAAACAAGAAGCAGCTTCTATTGTTGAGGATGCTGAGAGAAGCACAACGAGCGTGGAGCACACAGATCCTCTGCCAGCGGGATCTGCTGCTGCGTCACCGGGGTTTACGGTCCAATACCAAGTTTACGGCCGATTCTTAGCCAGAACCTACTGCCTTGTCTGCATATGTGCCTGCTTGTTAGCATGTTTTGTACATGTGCTGATACAAATTGTACGATGCAACAATTGAGGCGAAATACTTTCAAAGTCCTGCCTTTAAAATGGCATTGTTTACGTTACTTTTCATGCCAAAATGACAAGGAAAACATTCCCAAATCAGAGTGCTTTCAACAGGTGGACCAACAAGTGCAGAAATAGATCATACCAAATCCAACAGAAGTGATCGAATAATGTCAAAAAAATGAGGTTACTGTGAAAAACTGTGGTTCTTATTATATGGAAAATGTATTCTCAGATCCAGGGAAAAGAGTTATATCTCCCCAGGAAGTATAACTTGTCAAATCAAAGGGGAAATTAAGCCTATAGGAGCGAATAATGCCTAAAATCTTGACATAGCAGCAAAGTAGAACTGTACACACTGAATTCATGTTTTATATTAACTGTAATAAGAAAGGGTAATCATGCAGGAGCCAGTATATATATTCATTCTCTTTCAAACATATATTATCTCTTCAAACATTTAGCTCGTAAAAATGCACCGTATGGCACATGGTGGCGAAGTCCATAGGGACTTGGCTTGGCAACTGGAAGGTCACCAGTTCAAGTCCCGGAAAGACCAAGGCCGTTTCTCAATGTCGAGTAAAGCTGCTGCAGAGCCACTATTTCAAGTATACCACGTCATCGAGCGGTGCCGAATGCTGGGCATTTAACATGCATTTAAACAGTCCTTCGGCGCCACTCGACGACGTACTTGAAATAGTGGCAGAACATTTGTGGAAAGTATGTATCAGCAGATGTAGGTTGTAAATATGCATTTTGGCTTCAGTCCGATTGATTCAAATGAATATGATATGTGCGCCTCCATATGTGAGCTTTAGATAAAAGTTCTGCAGCTCCAGACGGAGGCAATAAGGAGGAAAATATAATATGAACTACCTTGATATCAAAGCTGTCTAAAGGCTTTGTTTTATGAGGTCATATATTATGTTCAGGGTTAGCCGTTTAATGTGTCTTGTTTTGATAAAAGGCTGTTTGCATTGGCTTGGGTGCACATGTAACCTAAAGCACATATGTGTGAGTTGGATTGTTGGAGTGATGATAGCTGGATTTATTCATTGTATTCTCTCCAAATAGGAAACTATTGGCTAAATAAATGTTCTAGTTCAGAGCGTTGGACTGGAAACAGAGGAGTTCGGTTTTTTCTCTCAATGTGTATTTATTTTCTGATATCCCAGGAGAGTAGATTTAATTGGATTAAGACAGGGAGAGAAAAGGGAGAACAGAGAGAAATAACCTGACAGAGGAGAGAAAGAGAGTTTCCGCTGGCTTCGGCTAAAGCTGCACACTCAAAACCATATGCTTGTCATAGCGTTGTGTGAGTCCATGTGTGTGTGTGTGTGTGTGTGTGTGTGTGTGTGTGTGTGTTAGGTGGGCAGGGCTTAGCTGGAGGAAAACTGCTTAGACTGGGATCAGCTGCTCAGACAGACAGCAGGATCCCCGGGACAAACGGAGGAGAGACAGACAGACAGACAGGCAGGCAGACAGACAGACAGACAGACAGACAGACAGACAGACAGACAGACAGACAGACAGACAGACAGACAGACAGACAGACAGGAGGAGGAGATAATGAGGAAGATGAGCCAGAGAGAAACACAGAAAATATGCAGCATTTTAAATTTGGACCATGTTCCTACAGGCACCTCTAACATAAATATAATAGCTAAGTCAATCATCACATGTTATATGGCAGCCAATCAGAGAGTTTGCTGTTTGACAGACAGGGTCAAACTGCATGTGAAGCATTACATTATCCAGGCACTGAGCCAATGAGATAACCCGGGGGGACAGACAGCATGATGAAGAGACAGACTCAGCATCAGCAGCAGGTTGGCTGTGTTTCCTGAGAGTTAAAGCTACGATTTTTTTCTTTCTTTATAATTAGGATGACCTACCAGACTCGTGCTCCATTTTGATTGACAGGGCTGGGCTCTGGGGGGCGGAGTCTTCACTTAAAGAGTAGCTGTGCTCCGCTTGAATATCTGTGAGATTCAAAAGCCCTTTTCAGACACGGAAATCCAAACATTGCTGTGTTTATTAATATATTTAAGTGAGGGCTTCTATTGGCTAGCACTCCAACACATTGTACGTGATAGGCTAAGGGGCGGGACATCTCTAAACTGGTTGACTAATCACATCAGCCGGCCAGCTAACCAATCAGAGCAGACTGGGCTCTGGTTTCAGACAGAGGGTGAAAAGTATGAGAAAAATAAAGAGCTTTTTGATCATTAAAGCATGGAGACATGTCCCAGTAGAGACACTACATACTGATATACACCTGAACATCAGCAGGAGAGGACTCTTTAAAGTAGAGACACTACATACTGATATACACCTGAACATCAGCAGGAGAGGACTCTTTAAAGTAGAGACACTACATACTGATATACACCTGAAATCAGCAGGAGAGGACTCTTTAAAGTAGAGACACTACATACTGATATACACCTGAACATCAGCAGGAGAGGACTCTTTAAAGTAGAGGAATAACATACTGATATACACCTGAACATCAGCAGGAGAGGACTCTTTAAAGTAGAGACACTACATACTGATATACACTGAACATCAGCAGGAGAGGACTCTTTAAAGTAGAGACACTACATACTGATATACACCTGAACATCAGCAGAGAGGACGCTTTAAAGTAGAGACACTACATACTGATATACACCTGAACATCAGCAGGAGAGGACTCTTTAAAGTAGAGACACTACATACTGATATACACCTGAACATCAGCAGGAGAGGACTCTTTAAAGTAGAGACACTACATACTGATATACATCTGAACATCAGCAGGAGAGGGACTCTTTAAAGTAGAGACACTACATACTGATATACACCTGAACATCAGCAGGAGAGGACTCTTTAAAAGTAGAGACACTACATACTGATATACACCTGAACATCAGCAGGAGAGGACTCTTTAAAGTAGAGACACTACATACTGATATACACCTGAACATCAGCAGGAGAGGACTTTTAAAGTAGAGACACTACATACTGATATACACCTGAACATCAGCAGGAGAGGACTCTTTAAAGTAGAGACCACTACATACTGATATACACCTGAACATCAGCAGGAGAGGACTCTTTAAAGTAGAGACACTACATACTGATATACACCTGAACATCAGCAGGAGAGGACTCTTTAAAGTAGAGCCACTACATACTGATATACACCTGAACATCAGCAGGAGAGGACTCTTTAAAGTAGAGACACTACATACTGATATACACCTGAACATCAGCAGGAGAGGACTCTTTAAAGTAGAGACACTACATACTAGATATACACCGGACATCAGCAGGAGAGGACTCTTTAAAGTAGAGACACATACTGATATACACCTGAACATCAGCAGGAGAGGACTCTTTAAAGTAGAGACACTACATACTGATATACACCTGAACATCAGCAGGAGAGGACTCTTTAAAGTAGAGACACTACATACTGATATACACCTGAACATCATCAGGAGAGGACTCTTTAAAGTAGAGACACTACATACTGATATACACCTGAACATCAGCAGGAGAGGACTCTTTAAAGTAAGAAAAAAGAAAAGAGACACTACATACTGATATACACCTGAAACATCAGCAGGAGAGGACTCTTTAAAGTAGAGACACTACATACTGATACACCTGAAATCAGCAGGAGAGTACTCTTTAAAGTAGAGACACTACATACTGATATACACCTGAACATCAGGCAGGAGAGTACTCTTTAAAGTAGAGACACTACATACTGATATACACCTGAACATCAGCAGGAGAGGACTCTTTAAAGTAGAGACACTACATACTGATATACACCTGACCATCAGCAGGAGAGGACTTTTTAAAGTAGAGACACTACATACTGATATACACCTGAACATCAGCAGAGAGGACTCTTTAAAGTAGAGACACTACATACTGATATACACCTGACATCACAGAGAGAGGGACTCTTTAAGTAGAGTCACTACATACTGATATACACCTGAACATCAGCAGGAGAGGACTCTTTAAAGTAGAGACACTACATACTGATATACACCTGAACATCAGCAGGGAGAGGACTCTTTAAAGTAGAGACACTACATACTGATATACACCTGAACATCATGCAGGAGATGGACTCTTTAAAAGTAGAGACACATACTGATATACACCTGAACATCAGCAGGAGAGGACTCTTAAAGTGAGAGACACTACATACTGATATACACCTGGACATCAGCAGGAGAGGACTCTTTAAAGTAGAGACACTACATACTGATATACACCTGAACATCAGCAGGAGAGGACTCTTTAAAGTAGAGACACATACTGATATACACATGAACATCAGCAGGAGAGGACTCTTTAAAGTAGAGACACATACTGATATACACCTGAACATCAGCAGGAGAGGACTCTTTAAAGTAGAGACACTACATACTGATATGAATCTTAAGATGTGTATAATAGAGTCCATTTAAAGCCCTAGTGATTCAGGGGACACCAACATCGTCTCAAGTGATGTGTGTGACATGCAGTGCTGCATGACTGATTCCTCTGACAGCTTCAACACACTGAGAAGCTACAGCTCAATAACTCTGAAGCGTATTTGTGCAGCTTGTTAGCAACTAGTTTGTACCCTGCTAGTGAGGGGTAAACGTTGTGTGTTTGTGTCTAAAAAGCAGGAGTTTTGGATGTCACAGACTTTCTCATTAGACCCTCGCTCTCTATAGAGATAGATCTATGGATTTTAGTTTTATAGGGGAGACAGAGCCAGAGTTGTTGCTTTTGAAATCCAACCAAATAATGCATTGGGTCTTTTTCTACTTTTTACTTTGGCGGTTTGTCCTGAAGAAATAAGGTCATACAAATGTGAGGGGCCGTTGGAAGAGCTCCACAAACCAACCTGCTCTGATATTTTTATTGTCAATAATGGGGAAAGTTTATTGGAAGGAAACGACCACGGTGATCCAAACCCACCACACAACATTTTTATTGGACGTTATGTTCAATTCACACACAATTCATATGTTGATATTTAATTCTGCGCTATGAGGAGGGACATTTTATTATTGTACTGATGATATTAAAAGAAGGCTCTGACCTGCGCTGCTGTCGTCCATATCCATGCTTATAGTGAAGGTCTGTCTGACACGATGGGCCGCTCTAATAGATGGTCGTCAAAGAAACTGCTGAATAATTCACTGCTGAAGTCGTCCATCTGGTCGCCGGAGAATGGCTGGAAAACATGAAGAGAAACCTTTTTTTAATTCAGCAAAACAACAGTTTTCCCATGGAACGGTTACCCACTCCTATAAAAGTCTGTACTGTGGTACTTTTCATGTCTCACCAATCGTAGAGATTTGATTTCTTTCAGAAGAACTGAAGGATTACAAAGCTGAGAACAGAGCTGTTTATTTAGCTCATGAAAGATGGCCTTTTTTTTTTATATACATGACATATAAAGAACACAAAAAGCACACTAGATAGGTTGGAACAAGGGGAAAAGGGCCATTCTTGCTTGACTGAAAGGATTATCAAAGTAGTTGTAGTCAGAGAGAGATCTTGTCAGAGTCAGAAACCAGACACCACCAGAGTTCATGGAATGAAGAGTCACTCAATATCGATAGATTCATCCTCAGTCTGGATGAGATGAGTCACTGAGCTGAGAGATGATGTTTGGGAAGCCTGGGACAGCATGGTGCTCTAATTTCACTGGTTTATAACACACACACACACACACACACACACACACACACACACACACACACACACACCACACACACCACCACACACACAACACACACACGGAGACACACATAACACACACACACACACATACATACACACACACATACACACACACACACACACACACAGAGTCACACACACACACGCACACACCACACACACACACACACACACAAGCATGAGTCACCCTGGTGTTGATCAAACAAAACAGTACAAAAGCACGCTCACTTACATAGTCACACATAGATGGATTGCATTGGGACCTATTGGATAAACTAAACCCTGTTCCGAAGCTTCCAGACAGACACTGTGACATAAATAACTCCATTTAATTCACCACAAATGCTAAATTACATTTAAGGAAACTAGCTTCATCTCTTGACTGAATTTGGAGAAAAATTAAAAGGCTTTTTGTCCTTTAATAAGAGTGCAAATGGTTTTAGAGGTGTTAGGTGTGTAGTTCAACTTTCCATTTGTAAAAGCTGACAATGTACAGTAAATCTTATTCAGAAGCTTCTTGTCTGTGCATAGCCAAGAACTGGAACCTTTTTAAGGTGTTTACAAATAGGATTGGACTTGCGAAAAAGGTGCGTTTTGTTACTTTGGAGTCACTACTAGAAGAGACCTAGTAATGTCCTTTCCTGTCAAATGCAAAGAGTGAGAGCGAGAAATAATCTCCCATGCTTTAAAATGTGTGAATCATGTGCACTCACAAATGCATTATCTCAAAGTGTGTATGTGTGTGTGTGTGTGTGTGTGTGTGTGTGTGTGTGTGTGTGTGTGTGTGTGGGTGTGTGTGGTGTGTGTGTGGTGTGTGTGTGTGTTGTGTGTGTGTGTGTGTGTGTGTGTGTGTTTGTGTGTGTTCGTGAGTGTGTTTAGGAGGTCAAGCATGTCTGTGATGAAACTCTGGGACACATGCAGTTGTGTAAAAGAAACATGTGGAGTAAGCACATATTCATATATGGAGGCAAAAAGGGCGTTTGGATTTACATGTGCCACTTCACACATACTGGATAAAAGGTACTTATTTTCCTTGCTATTGTTGCTATGTTAAATGCATTCATCTGTCTAAACACACTTTACTTTGAAGAAGCCACAGGAAACACAAAGTCTTTGTTGCAAAAGGAACCATAACAATAACTGTTTTTGAAGAATCTCAATGTTACTGTACAGAGCTTTCTGCAGGATAAAACTGACAGGCCCCGCTCAACAGGGTGTGGCGTTCACTCAGTTATCCTGCAGCTACTTGCTCTGTCAACACAAGCTAATACTCACTCAATCCAAATCAAAACACACCTTCAAAAAACATTTAATACTGACAGAGAAGCCTTGTTCTCCTGCTGCACTTCATGTTCACATAATACAATTCCGTCCCTTTAAATGTGTTCTTTTAGGTAATATAGGTCACATTTAAACTGCCCCACTCAAAACAAACCGTGAAAAGTTTCCCATGTGGAGAAATGTGGGTGAGACTGGTCTGATGCAAGGGAAAAAGAAAAGGAAAGTCCAAAATTGAAACGCTTAGATCAACACTGTTAGGAAGGATGTTGGTGTCTAATAGCAGTCGTGACATTTGACTAAATAATCAGTGGCGCTTTGTAGCTTTCACCGAGCCTAATCTTTTCTCTAATCCAACATGACATGATCATTATGTAAACACAAGACTTTACTTTACACACAACATGTTTAACTATCCTGGCTGATAAGATCTCCTTCTCTCAGGGCCGGGCAAGTACAGACTGTTTCTTTGATATCTCCTTGCCTTTCCAATTTGACTATCATACATATGTTAATTAGACATTTGAATAAGATGCAAAGGGTTGGATGGATCTTTTTTTGCACTGCTTTTTGGGATTCCTCATTTGTTTTAGAAATAAAACCATTTACTTTAATGCTAATCATTAGATTATCACATTTCCCAGTTATTCGGACACCACTTGAATGCAGCACAAAAAGCCTTATCCTGCAAAATGTTACAAAAGTGAAACTGACTCATAATTTGGATCCAACTCCACCATTTCTGTGGGTCATAATGGGTCAGTTTATAAATATTCCCCGTTTGAGCAATCGTTTCCAAGGAAGGTCACATGGAAATCTGGCCTGTAGTCTTTCTGTAATCCTGCTAACAAACAGACAAACACATATCTTACTTGGCAGCAGTAGAAATAGGATAATATTACATTACAAGACATGTCTCAGTGTTCAGGAAGAGTGATTTCAGCCTTATTATGTATGCAGATAACCCGATGTTCTCGTAACAATGAATTGATTAGAGAAAAGGTCATCATTCAGCAAAACATTGGATTCTGCTAACCTGCATCAAACCTGCACCACCTGACATTAATCAGTGGCACATATTAAAGTTCATGCATTTATTTTCTAATCTACAGCACAGCTTTGAACCGCAGCGATAGCAGGAACTGTTACTGTTGTGTTATTAGGACAGGAAGCTAGCTGCCAGTCGGTGTTACGGCTGCTGGACGACCAGCTGCTGCTCAGAGGGAGCAGGGGAGCAGAGGTCTGGACCTTTCATTACCTGGACCACTCTGCTGGGAAAAGAATCACATTAGGGAAGGAAGCAGTGTTAAAAAATACCGTTTTTATAGGTTATTTCAGTGGCGCTGTGTCATTAGGGGGGATGGGTCCTGAGAAGTAAACCACATGGGGAAGGAGCTGCGAAAGACAGCAATTATAAAAGCAGAGAGCGACTTTGTGACACCTGTAATTAACAGTGTGGAGTCTCAACATATCTCTCTTTTCATTTGCAGGCTCAGGTGAAAGAGGAAGAAGAGGACCAACA